TAGCTGCCGGAACTGCCCTACCAATGGTTGTTTTTGGCAATGGGTATAGTTACCGCGTATGTAAGCTGTGGCAGATCAGCAAAGATCCGGAAGAGCCTCCGAGACTAGATGTCGGAGATTGGTCACGTAGGAAAATCAATATCAATCAAGCAAATCAAAATATATTTTATTGTTTTGCCTCCCTCGTTTCTTTCTTTTTGTTCCCAAACCATGATGTTTGTTTGATTGATTCAACAAGATATTCCCAAAGATCTGAGATAGTTGAGTCACTTTAGAGAAGAAGCACTGGAAGCGCCATTTATTGAGTAAGCTCGGGTAGAAATACGGCTTTCTGGGCTAATGTGAAAAGGTAACAGAAATATGCTATGCCCCAGATCTCCTGTTGGTTGACGGCCCCATGAGATCGGAGAGGATATGTGGCACAGAGCGTTCAAAAGTTGGCGTTTAAGACGATATAGAACAGTCCCACGACCTGAAAACACAGCGTGATTGGGTATAAAATTCCGATAGGAGCTCTGCGGGTCACCAAATGTTTCGTGTTACCATTACCCGAGAATAGTAACCTTATAAGTTATCGGCACAGGAGACAACGCCTTGGAAGTTGTAAAGTCTTGAGTGGTTAAATAGAGTTCTTCTGTCGGCCCAGCCCTGGTAAATGACCTGCGACGTAATTCTTCCCGTTTTTCCCAACAGCGTCCTATGGCCCGTGCAGGATCCAAAGTTGGAGAACGGCAGATCTGTGTAACGAGGAATGCCATACCCGCTGTTCTGCATCCCAATTGTGCCATACCGAAACGATCATTTTCGGTAATATATCTGCAAAACAACATGTTAGTTTGGCACATTTGAGAATAGGTTGGAATATAACTCGCGTACCTTTTTGAACTGAAAGTGAAGCTGAAGAATTCCCTAGGGAGCATTAATATTTATTATACCAACCACACTCGTACGTAGAAAATGGCGCACTCAGCAAGAATAATACCTTGTCAAAACTGCTCTTAAAACCCCTTTCCCTCTTTGCACTGTAGTCCCATTCCTTATCCACTATACGAAACGCTAAGTCTTCATAAGGAGGGCCCGCAATGAAGCGAATAAGACATGTATCTTCTTCTCCGGCAGGAGCAAATGACTGGCCGCGTTTCCTGCCGTTTTCCCGCTCTATTTTATAGGTCGGCGCCTTGGTTTTATCGATAAGGTCGGGATAGAATATATTAAACTTATACCCTTGAACAACCTTTGGAGGTGGGTTGTCATAATCGTAATGTGTTTGATTATATTTATTCCATTCATAACCCATCTGGACGCGATTGAAATATCTCGGTTTGCGAGGTCGATACTTGTTGGCCCACGTTGGCTTCGCAGTTGTACTCACGGCTTCTTCACCCGCAAAAATCTCTTCGTTCTCACTGACCCCTCTCGCCACTTCTCTTTCGTACAATGCTCTTGTTGCCTGTGAGAAATCTTCATTTGGAATCGCAGAAAAACGAGATGTAAATTGAGCTGCAGAAGTATCTACAGTAGAGGCGGTAACCAGGCCTGATTGTTTCTCCGAAACGCGATGTCGCAGCGGGACAAATCCCATTTTCAGGATCTTCTGGCGATCAAGGGCCTATTATAGAGTTAAATACAACCCATATAATTTTTAGTTACGGCAGTTTGAACGTACCACCTTGCTCAAAAACACATCTTCATCTAAAATATCAAGGCTTTTATCATGGGGTCGGAGGTGCAAAAGAGGCTCAGGATCAAGCTCCAAAAAATTTTCCATATTCAGGATATCAGTTCGCGCCGCGCCGTCACTTGTTACCAAAAAAGGTGCCAATGGTGTAAGTTTCTTCTGTACGGCTGCTGCTTCTTCCCTTTGCTTTTTCCGAAGCCCTTCGACCCGGTTGTCAATTACGGCTTGGTAGACTTTTTTCAATTTCGCACGGGCTTTCCAAACATTCAAACTTCGTAGGAGCTGCTCCCAATAATCCGTGTCGATAGGATCTTTTGAGTCTAGCTTCCGCCTAATTTGGATCTCCAGCGCTCCCAACTCTTCGTAAGACTTTGGGCTAAGAAGTCTGTTGATATCGTCGGCGACCGAATTCATAGCTCGACCCTCTGGACCGGATGTCTGTGATATCTGTCTACGGTCTCCACAAACGATTTTCATTGTCTATGGGAACGTCAGTCTGCTGTTCTAACAACACTGTCGAAATGCGATAACAAACCTTCCAAAAATCCCGATTCTTAGGGTGTTTCTCCAGTGTCAAGAAAGTGTCTATATCTGCTTCCAGGTCGCGCAGCTGGTCTGGCGATAACCCTTCGAAAACACCGTCTGGATCGATTAGATCAAATTCGGAATCGGCTATCTCATCATCCAAAGGATTCCTCGTGGGATCTATAACTCGAAGAGTGATCGTAAGCCAGTCAATTGGTTTTGCGCGCCCTTCCTTTACCCGTATCTCTGCTTTCTTCTTTGCCTGCTTTAAGACGAAATCATCTTCTTGGGCAACCCATTCTCGCATTTTTTCATCTTCTTGAAGTTGATTCAACTGGGTCTGTTCTTTCATGTTCCGCGGATACCGCCCAGATGCACTGTTGTGTTGAGGTTTTCGAGAACGGTCATTCGCTTTGTTGTCGCCATCCGTTTGGCGAGGAAATTTCTCAGGGCGACGCCAGGACGACGGGGAGCGCGACCTGCTCCTCTTATAACCAACTCCATCAGCGACTCTAAAGGACATTTTTGCGTTTGTCGTATATTCTTCGTTCGGGATGCTGAGGGCCAGAGCTAAATGAAACACTGGTGGTTAAATTATAACCAGCAAGGGAGGTCACTTGAATAGGCAGCTTAGCCAAGTTTGGAATTTTAGCCGAAAACGGCAACCTTCCCGAAATAAGCAATAGTTAGTTATCGGTTAGCTGTCGCCTTGAGCTCCCTGCTGCACCTTGAAGCAACAATGTTGGCTTCAATTTATTCCAACAGGACGCCTCACCAATACATTCACTGACTATCGGATAAGTCGTTCGGACCGAAATATGTCGAAGTGGTCAAAGCTGCAGCTTCCAAGTGACAGCCGTGCCCCGCCACTTCTCTACAAGTACCTTACCAGCAAATTAGGTTGTGAGATATACGTGACAGACCTGGCCCATGTGTGGTCCCAGAGCCTGAGCCGCAAAGAAATCCTGAAAAACGCATCCAAATATAACACGAGCATTGATCCCGGCGAAGATGAAGAACAGTATTTTGTTTTCCTACAGAAAATTTTCTGACGCCTTACGAGGGTCGGAGGGGCAACTCGTTATTATTAACAAGTGACCCCAGGAAGCGAAAAGCTTAACTCCTCACATCAACAAGCTACCAACTCCGTTGGTCCCTCTAGAGTGGACGGTTTACCCCTCTCGCAACAGCCACCAATGCGTTGCTTAACACATCCCTACTTTCCAATTTTAAAGGGGGGAAGGCGAAACCATGAGGCTCGTATCTAGTCCTTGATAGGGCATGTAAAGCAAAAAGGATTGGACTCTCAACAAATTATTTGACAAAATAGAATCTTCTGGGGTCGACTTGAGCATGGTGTTCCATGGCATGGGGAGGCGTACGGCTTTCTCGTAAAGAATCCGTGTATTCTCAAGCATCCCAGCTTATCAAAGGAGTTGCACCATTCGATGAAAAATTGTGGAATAATGAATACCAAGCTAAAGATGCTGACTACAACTTGGGTGTCCATATTGCCAATGAGCTGTCGTTCACATCCTCGTTTACCGATCGACAGATTGACGATTTTGCTCCCGACAACTGGTGGAACAGGCTAGGCACAGATTCTTTTGGCAACGCTCGTCAAACAGCCAGAAAGGACAAAGATCAAAAAAAACTTGTATCGGAAATATCACCGCATCCAGCAGAGAAGGATGAGGCTTCGCATAGTGACGACGATGAATTTCAGGTCAGATACAACTTCCCAAATTATTTTCCAAATGCTTCGTATTAATACTTTCATCCAAGACTATGGAAACTCCACCAAGGCTGAGAAGCCCCAGTCGTAGCAAAACCAAACATGATAACCTTCACAAGTCTCCTAAGTCTATAGGGAGAAGTCATGTCGAATCAGATCAAGATTCAGTAGAAGAAAGCCTTGAAACCCCCACGAGCTCTAAAAATAGGAGTAAACACAAAACAAACATTGCAGGCCATCCCCCCAAAAAGAAAGTACAGGCGTCGAGTTCCGCTGAAACCACTGCTTCTGAAGAAGATGGAAATTACGTTCGCTCAGCATCAAGGCATAGGTCGAAATCCAAGGGCCTCGGAAATATCGGTGGTAGACATCCCCCGAGACGGAAACAATCACTGATGGAATTAGCAGGATCCACACAATCTGAAGCTGAATATGAAGCCCCAACTAATCCAAAAACAATCTCAAAAACTAGGGGAAGTCTTTGGGCCATCGGCGGGAAGAAAAAGACGCAGAGACCATTTCAGGAAAGTCCGATCGGATCCACGGCATCTGATATTTCTGATGCCCCCGGAACAACGCCAAATTCAAATCCAACGAAGCAAACTGTCGACAACGACACGCCCACAGAATCGGAAAATGAAGCCGATCTATCTACTTCGCGACCAGTTCAACATACACTACCAGAGCCCAACGTACCGACATCCTCTCCACCGTTAAAGCCACAATCTGAATCCCGTGGCATAGGGGCAATTGGTCAGATAGGTGGTAAGAAGAAACAGCCCGAACCCAGCTCACCTTCAAGTGAACCTAAAACTGCTAAACCAAGACATCTCAACGACGATCATGATGGGAACGGTGATGAAAGGGAATCACCACCAGTGTTCCTCCCCGGCCCCGCAAAACTTAAACACCAAGGTGGCAAGCTGGGGATGATTGGCGGCCGTGGGGCGCCCGCTGCATCAAACTCACGTAAGGAACGATCGCGAAGCCAGGAGGTGCCAGAGTTGTCACCGCCCCCTAAACCTGCAATGGCTCCAGGAGATTCAGACCAACCACGAGCAGAGCTTGGAGAGAAAGAGGTGGAAGCTAAACAGGAAATAAAAGACGAAACTCCGGAGGAACGAGCAAACCGGAAACGAGAGGAGTTGAGGAAACAGCTGGAAGCGAGAAATAAAAGTGGAGGTACTAGGCCTGGTGTCGGTGGACCAGCGAAGAAGAGGAGGCGGTTTTAAGGCAAGATACAGGCTGGGAACGGTGGGGAGGAATGAAAAGAGGTTTGGGGGGTATAAAGGAAGGCGGCGAGTGGGGAACTATGGCGAGCGTCGTCTGGTTTGCGATGTGACGTACAACAATGAATCTCAATCAGTAATTATACTTGGATATGCCTGTGGTGTTGGGAATTCCATCCCCCCTCTAAATACAGAGACAGGTGATAATTTAAGCTAGAAGAATAAAACGTGCTGGTCATTGGACTGGCAGCGGAATCCCTTCATGTGCACAAGGGAGAAACACGCTTATGTAGAATATATCGGCCCATTATAAGCTAACCCAGCCCAGGAATTTATATAATTTGTACTAATTCTCACACGCCTCTAAGGGCAAGTATTATGACTGGTTATTCACTGATAAAATTACATTATTTACATGAAAGCATGTAAACTGATAACTATCTATCCCTTTCCCGCCACCTTCCTCCACGACAACGCTATGCAGCAAATAAATGTGCAGGGGCCAAAAAATAAAATAAAATAAAATACATTCACAAATCCGTCAACCATCCTGAAAGCGCGCACATGAGATATGGCAAGAAAATAAATATGAGTACCCCCAAAAATGAAAAGGAAACCACCCGGGGTAACAATGCCTGCCCGTTGTCCCTCACGAAATAAAATTAATAATAAGTAAAAATAAATAAATCATAATAGCAAATGAGAAAAACTAAAGGTTGGAGCTTGCGTTTCCAAGTTGGAGTCGCGAATTGATTCCTTTCAATCCCCCTAACAGCAGCCTATGCTATGCACGGTACTTGAAACGTCCAGAATCCCATGCTAAAAGAACAACCCAAAATCATGCAAGTAGGGACAAAACGAGAAACATATTCAGCAAACGCACAAAAAGCACAGAAGGATAATTTCATTTGGCAAGACGAGAAGCCAAAAAGTTCGGCGAGAATACTAAAATAGGAAAAAGCACTGAGGTTATTTTTCGTCAACGAGGTTTCAGAGATTGAATGTCGGTGGTAGATCGACTGAGCCCCAATTCCGGCTCCGACCCCAGGGTCCCCTTGCTCACTGGGGGTGACCAACCTAACTTTCTTCGGGGACACCATCGCAGTAGGCCCTGTGCCACCACCATCAGCGGCTATAGGGGAATCTACCGGCGGTCCTATACCCGCGGCAGCAGAAGACGTTGCTGTTGTATTAGTTGCCGTCGCAATACCTAGCATCCCTCGGACCCGTTCCACAGCTTTGCTTTCGCCAGCAGTCCATGAATCCCGCTTCGCGAAACCCCGACCCAATTTCCGTGCAGATAAGGTATCCCTTACGTGCTTACGCTCTTTAGCATGGGAAGCAATATTTTGTTCGCGTCGTGGGCCTGGCCCGCAGTCGTGGAAACAGCCTGGTGTTGCACAACCGCCCTCACTGATGGAAATGTTGTTAAGCCAGGTAGTCTGGCAGGCTGCGTGTCCTCCGTGGCCGCAACCTTGGCACCAGGCCCAGAGCGCGCTCCCGTGAGGGCGGTAAGTGGCGTGAATGTTACTATCAACTGTGGAGTTATTGTCATCTTGAGAAGACTTGTCTGAGGTAGAAGACGGGGTAGAGGAGACAGAAGATTGTAAAGTCCATTCCATAGGAGGGTCCCGGCTCATGCATATTGTGCACAGTGACTGCGGGGTATTGCAGCGATGGCATCGTTGGTTATCTCGTATTGGGTTCTCGTAAGGCTTTTTGCATTCGAAACAATACACATTGATGAAAGTATCTTGTTGGGCGTAATCATAAACAGATGGATAGTCAGGCACACATAAAAGTCGAAGTTCTGCCGCTTCAACAAACATCCCATGTCTTAGGAGCTGCTCATTATAAGATTTAAGAATAAGCTCACGCTCTTCATATGGCAGAATCTCGTCACATGAAGAAAAGAGCAAATGCATTTTGTGCAGGAGATGAGCAGCTGATTGTATGTCGACCTGCGAGCTTGAGCAGTAGTGTTTAAGGGCTTCTTTGATAATTTTACTTGCACTCCACGGCTGCTTCTCAGCTTCGTCAGGGAGAGAGGGAGCAAGAGACTGTCTTCCTCAGAACTTCTAAGAGTGCAAAATGCAGATGATCTCGATGGTGAGGTGC